CCCAAGATGCCCGTGATCACCTCTACTGCAGGAACAGAGGCAATGAAGAACCCACTGAGGTAACGAATTAGCCACGTCCGAAAATGGGCCGTCCAACACACTTTCCAGCACAGTCTGACACAAGTCAGTACTCAAATGATTGTCTCAACCATGTTCTAGCCATGCTTGCCTGTTACTAACAGCATGACCTTGGGCAAGTCATTTAATATCTCTGGGCCTCAGTTACTTTCATCTTCGAAATGAAGGGACCAAACAAAATCAGGGATGGAAAAAAAAAAAGGTTCCCTTGTCCATAGCAGACAAAAGTAATTAAGCCACTCCTTCCCATTCTATCTGAACTTGGGCCTCAGAATCTTTCTTAACCCAGCACACTGGTCATTCACAACCCATTTGAAGGAGGTAATGCTTGGCATGATCTCTAAAGCCAGCAGCTTTACCTTCATAGTCTGTTGGCACTAAACTAGCTTCCTGAAATTGTTCTGGTCTCCAGATTTGGCATCAGACTAACATCCGAAGACAGAAAGCAGATGGCAGCAGCAGTGGAAGAGCCAGTCTCTACAGCCTGGGCACGGTCCACTCCTGTGCTATGTACACCTCACAGTACATACAGCATGGTAAATGAGGACGGGGCTCTGAAGACCACCTGGACTCAGAATCCTAGCTCGCCATGTACTAGCCAGGTACTAGCAGTGTGACCTTGGACAAGTTACTTGACCCCTGTTTCTCAATCTCCTTAACTACAAAATAAGAATAGTGCTTACATCATAAGGTTATTATAAGGATTCAGTAAGTTAATACGTGTAGAACTCTTAGCACATAGTGCTGTGTGTGCTAGTATTAGAACCCTCAAAAGCACCCTCTGAGATAGGTACCATTATTTAACAGGTGAAGAAACTGAGGTTCAGAAATTCCACGGTCACACGGTACTTAGGCAGCAAAGGCTTAAAGCAAAGACTTTGTTTGGCCAAAGTGCATCTCGGCAAACACTCAAATACTTATTGGAAGACTTGGTGAAATAAAAGTGATTCTTGATTATCTGAAAGGGCTTGCCAGCCCGGGGCCACTGTTACGTTCACTGCCTGCTCGCTCCCTACTGGCACTGCTATCCCAGCTGGCTCTGCAATGTCACCCACCTTACCCCCTTGCCCATTCCATCAGCATACAGAGAGGTGATAGCAACAGATTTGAGAATCAGCCTGCAGAAAACCAGGGCACACTGCTGAGTCTCCACTTCTGAGAAAAGCGAGAAACCTTCAAGATTCTGATTATTGGTCTGACCCTATCAGTAAAGTGAGTTTTGTTATTTGCTAGATCTGTATCTTTAAGGGAACTGAGCAGAGATTAGAAAAAATGAGGGAAGGGATTAGGTATCTAGGTACCTATGCTCTATTTTTATCTACCTTACTTCCTTAGGGATCCTACTAAATGTACTGTATCTTTTTGTCTTAATAACCAGTTATTCACAAAAATCTCTCTTCTGGTTAACACAGAAGTTCCTGAAGCTGGTACATTTCTCACTATGTTATCATGTCCAAAGAGAGTGAGTTGGTGCCCATGTTTCTAATATATCTAGTTCACTCCATCTAGTGCTTTGTTTTGTTTTGTTTTGTTTATGGGGGAACAGCCAGGGTCATTGGTTACACATGCTTTCATGCTACAATGGCATAGTCGTCTCTTTTAGGGAGGGTGCAGTTCACAGTGGCCCATGTGGGGATCGGAACAGGCAACCTTGGTGTTATAAGCACCGCATTCCAACCAACTGAGCTAACCAGACACCCTTCTTTTTAAAAGCAAGAAATGTGTTTATAGCTTTGCTAAAGATGAGGTGTGGGGTGTCTCTAACACTAGTGGAAGAGACCAGAAATTGGTTCCATTTCCTGGGGCTGAGCAGGCAGTTGGAAACGGGTGACAAAGAACTGGTGTGTTCTTCCATTCAGTGACTCCACAGTAAGACATGACAGGAAAAGGTCCACCAACACCCAGACAGCAGAAAGATGTGGGGTGTCCAACTCTCCATCTACATTTTTAGAAGCCAGTTCAATGGCTCCTACATCTCACTTCACAGCTGATAGGAAGTGATCTGAAAAGGATACATGTTTTCCTCAGAAGGTTCTCACACTGCTTATTAGATAAAGTAGGTTTCATCAAGAAACCTACTTTATATGCTTTACATTCTAAACGGTTCCTTCCTTTTTAGAACTGTTGTACTCATGCTTTTTTCAAAGGAAAGCAACCTCTTGGCCTGTGACTGTGACTTTCTCAATGCTACTGCAAAGGGAGAAACCCCAAGTTACCTGGCGAGGGAAAGGCTCCTAGAAAATAACAGTGTTTTCACCTGCAAAATTTGCTCTGTGTCTACAGGTGAGAGCAGATAAAAACAAATTCCCAGGGGAGCGCTGAAGGAAAAAGATGAAAACGATGAGTGTAATTTTAACAAAAAGGGTTTGGGGCAAGAACTAGAGAGGGTAGTGGTTAGGAAACCTGGCTTAGAATCTGAAGGATCTGGACTCGGCCACTTGGTGTGTGACCCTGGAGAAGTTACTGAACCATCTTCTCTAAAGGAGTCTGTTGCCTTCTCTGAAAACGATGATAACAACAGTGTATTGTCTCTAAGGTTGTTATGAGGCTTAAATGAGATAATGCAAGAGAACAGCCCAGCATGTGGAACTGGCACTATTATTAACCAGTTTGCTTTTCTTTGCCCATTTTTTTTTAAAGATTTTATTGGGGAATTGGGGGAGGGTTACAGCATTGGGGAATCGGGGAAGGGGAACAGACAAGTTGCTGTCCTTTTGTTCTTCAGTCTAGTTGTGGAGGACGTCGCTTCACTGGCCCGTGTTGGTATTATCATTGCGCTCTTCCTGGGCAAGGCAGATTGGCTGCCGGCCATTGGACGGCCACTCACTGCAGCTCACGCCAGCGGCCGACCAGCCCCACTGCAGCCTACGCCATCGCCGGCGACTCGCAGCAGCCCAGCTCCAGGTCGAGCTGTTGTTCACCATCTTAGCTGTAGAGGGCGCAGCATCACTGGCCTAATGTGGGATCCGAACCGGGGTCCTGCTGCTCAGAGCTGGCGTCCCAAGCCAACTCCTGATCGACGCGCCACTCGGCCGGCCCTCTTTGCCCGTCATTTTGCAGTAACACTATTTGACAACTAATATTTATGGATCACTCACTATGACTAGGCACAGTGCTGGGCTCTGGGTTTTATAGGAGAATTAAGTCTTGGTTGATTATATTAATGAGTCAGCCTTAAACGAGTGTTAGTACTTTCACAGATTATTGCAAAGATTAAGTGAGAACATGCCTCCTAGGAAGGGTTTATTTAGTACAGTGCCTGGCACACACATACACACACACACATACATACATACATATATATATATATATATATATATACATGAATAAAATACACACACACACAAGATGCAAAAAAAATGTATATATATTTTAAGAAAGGAAAACTGTATTACAATTTTAATACTCAGTATACTGATAACAAAAGATGAATACAAGTCACGTTTGACTTCTGCAATGACAAGGGGTGCTCAAAGTGGTTGCCATCAGCGTCCGGACACTTCTGATTATGGTGAACTACAGCTTGAGAAACACTGACCGAATTGTCCACTTGTATACATTTTTTTGGCACTCCCATTATATATACAAAGTACTCAACAAAAGGCAGATACTAACATCAAGGGCAAGCCCCACTTGCCTTGGTAACAAAGAGGAGGGGGACAGGGTTGGCCTGAATGTCTTTTTGCGCCTCCCCCATTTAGCCACCTCCTTTCCTGACAGCTCTCACATGCCTGGTGGCCCCTAGCCTACACAAGGGACTTGGCACTTCTAGAACTCTGGAAGGACTCAGCAACTCAAGAGCTTGAAGGTTAAGGTGATTAAAATAGAGAAAACTAGTCAGGCTGGCAGTTGCCCCGGCGAGAAGGAATAACCGGAGGGGCTTATGTTTGCTGCTGAGGCTGTTTCTTATCTGGATGCTGGTTACATTCACTTTGAGAAAACTCAACCATGTCTACAATTCAGAACCGTGCACTTTGCTGTGTGTTATGTTACACTCCTCTCTATTATCCAAAGAATACAGTAGCCTTCCCAATGAGTGTGCCACACCTGGGTTACAAGTGCAACAGGCCAGCCACCTGTAGCAGCAAGCAGCCCCATCAGTTTACCCCATGGGAGCTGAGAAATGCTATGGTTTTTTGCTAAGATTGGGAGGTACTGCTCTAGAGTACCAAATGAACAACATCCACCTCAATCGCACAGGTTTACCTTAAGGTTCTTCTTGTGGTGTGTGCTATTGAGTTGGCTCCGACTCCTGATGACCCCATGAATGAGTGATGTCCACAGTGTCCTGTCCTCAACAGCCAGGCTCAGCTCCTGTAGACGCATGCCTATGGCTTCTTTGATGGAGTCCATCCATCTCATATTTGGGCTTGCTCTTTTCCTGTTGTCTTCTATTGTTCCTGGCATTATTGTCTTTTCCAAAGAACCTGCTTTCTCATGATGTGCCCAAAGTAGGACAGCTTCAGTTTTATCATTTTTACCTCTATCGATGCCTCAGGTTTAATTTGCTCTGGGACCCACTTGTTCGTCTTTCTGGTGGTCCAGGTAGATACAGAGCTCTCCTCTAACACCATATTTCAAACGAATCCATTTGATTCCTAACAGCCTTCTTCACTATCCAACTTTCACGTCCATACGTTAATAATTGAGAATACAAAGTTCCCTATCCAACGTTAATTTTACTTACTCAATTTTTAATCAGATTTTTTTATCCTCTCCAACAAGAAGAGAGTACACTTAAGGGTCAACACCCTTAGGCTGCTTTTTACAAAACTGAGAGTTAGTCTTTGACATCATTCTCTATCTTACTCTTTATAACGAGCAAATGTCTAGGACACCCCATCTTCCTTCCCCGACATTCACTGGTGGGAAAACCTAAATTTCAATCATTTATCAAGTCAATGGATGTAACAAAGATTCCGTGTTGTTTTTCTCTTTGAAATTTTATTGTTACAAAAAAAAAACCTATACTTTTTACATTTTACATTCACCTCTCAGGACATTTAATGGTGCCAGTTAATGATGTTATTGTATAAAAGGCCCACCAGCTGCTTGAAATGGCTGCAATTTTTTTACCATGTTCTGGTATTAAAATGGTTTGAACTCTTTGGAAAACACTCGTGTAACATTAAGTACCAAGATTTCAAATCCCCAGATTAGAAACAAGATTTTTAAGTGAGGAGAAAATTTAGTAAAAATTCATGACTAAAAGGAAATGTTAATAGAAAAACAAAACTGAGAATATTGTAAAAAATAGGGTTTTCCCAAGTTAGGTTAAAAAAAAAAATGCAACCAACTCCCTCCCCACTATATTTCTCTTAGAAAAGCCACCCAATCCTGAACACAGGGTCCTGCACACAAATACAAGTAGTTTGATTTGCGGATCAGCCTCTGGCATCTTACACTGGCCCCAGTTAGAAGGTTTTTTTAAAAAATTAAGTTATGTTAGGTAGTTAGACATCCATAAATACTGGTATCCAAACGAATAAGAACATCCTGGCTTTGGTATGGCTACAGAAATATGGAAACTGTTCAAGAGGACACTGGCCTGGGGAAAGAGGGAGCAGGGAGGAGGGGACACACAAAACTCCCAAGAGGAGGTAAAATAAATATTGGGACACATCCACAGCAAACACTGTGTATAATCCTCCAGGCGAACGCCTCACGCGAAACACACTTAGGTTCTTGCTCAGAATCACACACGTACAGGTTCTTGAACAGAAATGTCTGGACCAACCTTTATCAGAAGTATCACTCGCAGGAAATAGTTTGAATTTGGGAACTCATCTGATGCCGTGGGGTCTGGTGAGACACAAAGGCCTTTTGGAACAAGAATGGCCACCTGGGCTAAAAGCCGGCCCCCTCTTACTGCAAGACTCAGTCTGTTTTTCACTGTAATTAGCTTTGCCTATCACAAAAGCTCCTGCCTAACAAGGGGACTCTGCCACCCTGGTCACTACAGGGGTCTGTCGGAGTGGTTGAAATACTTATTCTCCATCTCTGGAGTAACTAAATAAAAAAATTAAATCTGGGATCAAAAATATAATTTATTGTGCTATGTTCTCAAGTCCACTTCGCATTTTCCTCCATTTTCACCCAATCACAATGTTAAGGGTTATGAGATTAGAGGCGCAGGAGGCAGTGATGGGGCCGAGACCAGGCCTAAGCGTGGCCGCAAACACCCTCACATTTACAGAAAAGGCCAAAGTGCCCTGTCCCTGGTCTTCAAATAGTTAACTTCACAAAAGCACAAAAGTGCCACCAGACAAGGCGAGGGAAAAAGGCAACTTGTTGCTGCTTCCATGCTGAACCTCCAACAGTTATCAATATAATCCTTTACAGACAAAAAACAAACTTTGGTGTGCTGTTAGGAAGACAAGTTAAGAAAATCATTAAAACAAAAACAAAAACCTTCTATGGAGACACACTAAATATATTGCAATAATTTCCATCACAGAGCACTAGAAGATAACTAAGAGCTACCTGATATTATGGGATGTTACACACACCACAGTGACAATTAAGCAAAAGAGAGCCACACTTACGACCAAGGTCGCCAAGAAGAAACAAAAGGTGAAGCCCCTGTTACTGTGGACTTGGTTCTCTGTCGTAAGCATCCTAATAATGGGGGACTCGGGGCAGAGAAGAAACACAGAAGGCCCAGGCAACTTCTGATAAACAGCATTATTTAACCTGTTTTCTAAATGAGACTCCAACACCAGGAGGGAAAAAAAAGATTATAAATTAAAACAAAAATCTATCTGTACAAGTCTTTACTCTGAGTCGGTACGGTTTGGTCTCTGTGGAAGCCAGGACTTTGGAGAAGGTGATTTACTTGTCTTCACAGCCCCCAACTTGCTTTGGGGTGTGTACATCAAGAGACGCAACGAAGGGGAATCACTGGAGACCGAGGGAATTACTTACAAAGGTTTCCTAGGATGTGTCAAGTCTACTGGTTGCCTGTAGAGATGCTAACACCGACTCTAACCCCAAATACTTTATAAACATCATAAGGTGGCAACTATAATATAAAAACCACCACCACCCAATGAATCCATTTCTCTAGTTATAGGAATGAGGGGAAGGGAGCAGGGGGTGTGGAGGAGGCTGTTTCGCGAGGATTCATTAGGAAGAATGCACGTTCAGTGGCAGCCACGGCAGAGCTTTCTTTGTCTTTCAACCTGGGCCAGACCTCCTGGGAGTATGGGACGGCCAACACGGTTCCATGGGTTTGGAATGGCCAATGTGGAACAATGGCATCGGTGACAACAGTGCAGTTTGAATTATGAGCGCGAGTCTGTAGACCACTGATAATTGTACCACCAGTCTCACCTCCACACCTTCCACAGACAGCCCAGATAATCAGCCTGTGGTGGGTACCACCTCACCGACTTGGGAGCAGGGGAGAAAACTGAATTACAAATGAAAACGTCTGAAATGACCACTTCTTGTTCCAGCTTGAGCTAGAACAAATGTGTTTGAATAAACCACGTGCATTAAATAATTTAAAATATGGTACCTTCAGCACATTACGAATATGAAATGTTCCCTCCCCACAGCCCCAATCACTTCAGTGCACGTAGTCCCCAGGGCAAATTTTTCTGTCCGTTCCGCCCATGGAATGGATGGCATGTGCCAGATGTTACACAAGGCATTTATTTCTCTGAGAAGGCTGAGAGCCAGGAGAATTAATCTCCTTCTCCTAGGACCTCTGCCCCAAGCTCCTGGGGAAACAGTGAATTGGGCTCGACAAGGGGAGTAGCTCTGTGATCCACTCATCTGATTTAAAACATGAAACGCACTGTAGAAAGTATCCCTTTCTGTTCCTCTTCACGGTAGAAAGAACAAAAGATAATTAATAAAAAGAGAGGTCCCTTCAAACTCAAACGAGGCTTTAAAAAGCACACACGCAAAGCAAAAAAATAAAGAAATAAGTCAATCAAACGCCCAGTACTCCTGTACAGTCTCATGGCGACTGAAGGCTGGAAGAAGTCGAGGCAGAAAAGAATGAAACAAAGACGGAAGTGGCTGGCCACAAAAGTGCCTTGCAGAATCCACCACAGCGTTCTCCATATTCCAAGGCCAAGGAGCAAGTCCCAAGTTAAAAACTTTCTATTAAGAAGAAAACAAAACAAAACAAAACACCACTCCTGAAAAAGAGTCAAGGGAAGTAGAGAACCGTAGAAAGTCAAGCCGCTGACCTCCGTCGGATCACAAAAAGCCCACGCTGAAGCTGGCCCAGGTAAATCCTCATCTTGGTGCTGTCACTCGTCTTCCTCACCCAGATCTGCAGGGGAGAAGGAAAGGAAACAAGATAAGAGAGGCTAACACTGAGGAGTAGACCTTCCGGAGCATCAAAATACTGGCATGAATTAGGTGTGTGCAGAAACTGACGACCTCCTCCTGTCTACCTGTGAGGTCTTCCCGAGCACCTCCTTGACCTCTGGCCTTCCTAAAGGCAGCCTCTAGTGGGCAGAGTGAGCTGGCATCAGCCCTTGAACTCATCTCTCCCGGCCATCTCTCTTACAGTTTTGATTAAGAAAACGGAAAGCACAATGACATTGGGTTCCATTTGGCCTTGATCTTAAGGACTCTTTTTGATTTGGTTTGATTACAGCACTATCAACATTCAAGATACATATATTCATGAACATAAACTTTCAATCAAATTTGGAAATATTTTCCTTACCCCAAGGGACTTCACATTATAGCCTTTCAGTACTCGGGTTTCCAGGTAATTAAGGCTAATGGTTGTGACAGGAAAAGAAGGAAAAAAAATTTTAAAGATGCCCATGAGTGAGCTAAGGCCCAATTAGGATCAAGAGAAGGTTAAATTAGCTTAAGACAGTCCTTCCGTCCTGACCATATCATTCTCCCACAGAGGGTATCACTGCCTTACATTTTATAGGCAGACGCATCCTTCCGTAGAATTGAGAACGAACTCTGGCAGCAGGGGACTGCCGGAGCTGACAAGTGCTCTCAATAAGTGGCATGTATGGAGCCATGGATGGGATGGAAAGCTGACACCCCTGTGCAAGGGGCTGCTGAGCTCTTACTGTGTGGCAGACACTGTGCTAACTAAGCCGTGCCTTCGCATCCTCAGAACTGCCCCATGAAGTAGAGTGAGTACTACCATTGCCCCCTTATATAGACGAGCACGGCTGGGCTGCGTGCCGGGTGTGAATCCTGGTACCTGACATCAAAGCCCCTTGCTCTTCTCCACCAGACCGGCCCCTGACTCTTCTCGCTACTTCTCTCACACGTTTAATTAACATGCTATTAGATGGAGCCAAAAGCATCATTTTTTTTAAAAATCTGCATCACACTCACACATGCGAGTATGAGTTTACGGCTATATCCTCGCCCTCCCCACTCAGTTTTCAGGTTTTAGAAACGCTTCCTCTCAGTTTCATCTCAATTTCTTCATTGGATTATTTAGCAACAGAAAGACTTTAAAGTCAAAGGTTTAAAAATAAAGTTAAAGATCTCCCATGAAGCTGAACCTCTGAAGGACCTTGCAGAACCATTTTAAATTGAAAACAGACCCCAAGGCGGGCTGAACTGGGAAGTCCCCAACATGCTCAGACGCACCCACAAAATCTGCCCAGAGTCAAGTTATGCAAACGCCAAGTAGCTCCAGTGTCCTTTAGGATCTGCCCTGACAAACGAGCTGGCATGCTTCCAACAAGTGAGCAATGTTCTCCTATTACGGAGCTGCATGCCTCTGTGGCACTGAGGCTTCTCCCCTCCAGGAGACATGTCACAGTGTCACCATTTCCTTGTCAGGCCTCACTGACGCTCTATTATGTCAAAGGGTGACAATCTTCAGCAGGGACAGAAAAAAATCTAATTTGCATTTCTATGTCCTGAAAAATCTTGAGGTGTCACAGAGGAGAACACTGCACCATTTTAGTTTAGGAACTAGGAGGCCACACGTGCTTTATGCAGCAGACCACACGGCCAGGCACAAAAGGTCTGTTGTGAAATCACGAGGCCTATTGCTAAAGAACAGCAGGTCTCTCTCTCAGATACCCTGTTTTGGTTTTGACTTGGCTTGAGGTGACACACACATCCTGAGCGCAAAGAAGAGTGAATACATTTATCTGGAAGGCTCTCCCTAACGTCTAAGTAAAAAAATCATTGTGCAAACTAGTCACATTTGAGGGCATTTTCAATTCAGGAAGCTGGGCAAATAGAAGAGGCTAAAGTTATTTCATAATCCAGTTTCATTAGATATACGGTGCACTGGCACAAATAAGTTACAGAGGGTAGACACATAAAAATCAATTTCTCTGAGACATTTGTGGACTGATGAAAGATCCAGCCAATCCAGCTATTAAAAGTTTTAAAGTTTTTTTAACTACTAACAAGTTACACATTGCTGACATCCTCCCAATGAAGGGTCAGTCAGGGAGCTGGAGCTCACAGGCCTGTCACATCATCTGTAAGCATAACCCTCTGAGCTGACTTTAGAACCAGCCCCCTTCCTATATCAGTGACTGGAGGAGACACCCCTAATGGCGTGAGCTTGGTAGCTCCTTGTTCAGAGGCACAGCAGGACATGTCAAATTGGAAAGACAGCAGGCAAGGAGAAGTGTGTGGATCAGATCAGGCCAGCACCCATTTATTACCCACTTACTGCGTGCCAGACCCTGAGCCGGGGGCCTCATTACATCTTCACAGCACAAATCTGTTAGTACACATGAAAGTTCTAGAGAAATAACAAAACATAGATGGAGTATGCTCCACAGGCAGGTTCCATTCTCAATAGATGGTTACCTTACAAAGCAACAGGATTTGAATGCAGATATTACACAGACTTGCCTTTTGTTCTTTCCTGTTGTCTAGCTCGTGGTTCCCAAGTCAATCACTGGACACGGGGTTCACAGATACCACGGGAATACACAAATCCACATACATTATAGTCAACAAAGTAAAGGATTTTCAAGGGTGTTGTGCCTCCATGCAATTTCTGCCTGAAAGCACTGACTTTAGACTCTAACCCACATGTGACACGTTATTCCACCATACTTTCTTGGTGGCACTCAAACTGCAGGTTTGTCACATTTCGCTTTCCTAACGGGTGAGGGAATTCGGGCCCTACCTCGTTGGCTCCGACAGAGCTGATCACACAGCTCAGTTTCTGGTTGTCCTTGGACTCCAAATAGATGGCTTGACTCTTGTGGTACCTGCCAAAAACAGGACATACGTTGATGTTCTTAACCACTTCTACCCTCTGAACAAATGTTAAATATACAATACAATATTATTAAAGACACATATTTTTTTAAGAAGAAAGGGAGGAAAGGAGGAAAAAAAACCAAAAAAAATCACCACAACAAAAAATGTAATTAAAAGAGTCTTAATTTATATTTGAAGAAAAGTCTGGATTTCAGATTTAATTTAAAGTCTTCCATCCTTTGATTAGATTAGATGACCTCCTAATCTGCTTCTAAATCTAAAACTTACATTTCTTGGTCCCTCGGCAGAGGGGAAACGGGAAGTCAAAGAAAGGGCTACGAAATTAACTCTCTATTTACTTTTTTATTTGGATTGTATGATCCAGCTCAAAAAGTAAATTATAATTTCTCAAGTAAAACCTTTGTCTTCACCCCAAAACACTGAAGAAGGCTGGGTAGACAAAACGAATAGATGGGTTTAAACAACTGTCCTGTTATCTATTTTCTATTTCTCCAAATAAGTCAACAAGAGGGAAGGTCAAGTTCAGCCCTTACTTTTGCTCACTCATTCAACAAACACTCATGAATCATTTACCGTGTACCACTGACCACACTGCAGGTTGGAGGCAGACAGTGAGCAAGGCCACAAGGTCCCTGCTGTCACAGAACTTCAAAGACAGTCGCAGTGAAGGAGATTAAATCATCACACCTGGCAACCGCTAAGTAGGCGAAGTTCTGAGTGATGTGACATGCACCAAGAGTTATCTAATGTGGCCTGGTCAGTCAGGAGAGCCGCTTAAAATAGAGTACACTAGACAGACACTCCCCTTTCAGCCCTGCATCAATTCTCTTGGCCTTTCGTGCAGGACCACCTTCATGTCTTCAAGTTCAGGGACAAGGCCAAGGATGAAAGTGAGGAAGCCAGGGCCAAAGCCCAAATGGCATAACAACAGCTGCCACAGGATGAAGGAGCAGCTGCTGGATTGTAAGAGTTGGAAACCAACTGAGCTTCTGCTGGCAGCCCTGGCCTGGGCCAGCCTCCGTTCAGTCAAGAACATATTACCTTTGCTTCATTCTGGCTGCACAGATCTGGCTAAACAGACCCACTAACTCATGTAAATTCCACCACAGCCAAAATGGATGTCCCAGCAAAGCCCTGCATCTTACCATTATTTCTGTGGGGGAAGAAAGCAGACTCCGTTTTGCTGGTATAATGAAATAATCTACTGCCAAGATATCACAGTAAAGGATGTACTTCACTCGCACAATGAGCTTTTTCCAATCTGGGTTCTAAGCACTCTTTAACCTGCTACTTAGGAGCTAAAAACTCAGGTTTCCAAGTCAATTTACTTCCTGAAAACACTGTTAAAAGAAATCGAATCATAAATGCAATTAGAACAGTGAGATTGGTTTAGTTCCAGCTTCAAAGCTGCTTTTGGCCAGAGATTAGTTGGTAAACTGGGTTAGGGGACCTTTATTATGCTAAATATGTAATATCACAAGTTTGAATTATAAAATGCATGAAGGCTGAATTAGTTCACAGCAAAACTCGAACTCGAGTTTCCCTCCCACATCTAATACTAATGTCTTGAGTAATGGTTTGAATAAAAATACAGAGGGGAGAACATTCACTGTTATTCTATGGGGACTCTGATTTATTAGAGAGATAAAAAACAAAAAAACAGGCAACTAGCCTCAAGTCATTCTGACACTACTTTCTAAATACTTTAATAAAGGAAGGTCATGGATATGGTGTAGAAGGATATACATTACTGAGTGGAAACAGGCTCAATATACTGCTAAATAAAAAATAAAACAACTATGTCCATTATGTTCCTGTGTTTGTAATAGGACATATGCATGACACATGTGTATCATACACACACAAAAAATTGGGTAAATCTATATACTAAAATGTGTATTAAAATTTTATAAAAATACATAATGTAAATTAAGAATGGTATTCCTTTTATTGCGTAGCTTTCTTTTTTCCAGAAAATACAAGCTATTACTTATATTAAAAAGTAAATAATATTTTCTTAAATCATGGCACTAGAAAATACCTAAACCACAAGGATGGGGTAAAAAGAAAACTCAATGTCACAAATTAATGTCTGTTAAAGACAGACAGTTAACTCTGGGACTATGCAAACAATTCTCATGAGATGCATTTTTTTTCAGCTGTGCTCAGAGCCCAAGCCTCCACACACCTCTGACTGGCTTGAAAGCGAACATCAGTACTACACAATGCAATCTGGTCTATTACCCCTGGGACTTGAACATGCGGCTGCCTCCCCAGTTTGCCTGCTCTGGAATCACCAGAAGGTGATGGTAGCTTGAATGTCCACCACTGGTCCCCATTTGCTCGAAAGGAGAGCTGGCCAACATGTTCCCCAAAGCAGCCCACTTCCAACCCAACTGATTTCCAGGTCCTCGTGAAGCCATCGCTGGCACTCCAGGAGATTCTCATGTGCCACACAATGGTCTTGGATAGCAAATTATCCTTGGATAGCAAATCTATTGAATTATCTGAATTCTATGAAAAAAATAAGTCCTCAGAAATTAAAAGTGCTCATATAGGGGAGGTTTTCAAGCTGAAACCAGAAAGTACATGGCAACCTTAACATACAAATTGATTTTTCCAATTTCTAAAGACTAATAAAAGAACAGGAAAAAATCCAAAATGTATTTAGACATAAAAAAATGTTAAAAAGCAACATCAATAGACCTAGATGAGTAAAAAAATGCACAATTTTTTTTTGTGCCAATATTGGCAAAAATAATTTTTTGCCAATTAACCCATTTTACAAGATACAACTCATCTCTGCTGAAAAAATACTTTCAACAGCCTCAGAGGACAAGCCCCAAATGTCAAGCTTACTTTATTAGTAATGGAAATTCTGACCTGGGAATCCTACAATTAAGCTCTCAAAGCTTTGCCTCTACTATTACACCCAATGAACTAGAATCACCACTACCGCTATGGAAGAAAGCAATTTCTTTAGAAGGTGGGTCAAAAAGTGGGGCAGGGAAGGGGCAGAATTAACTTAATTTTATATCCTACTGGGAATCCTGATATTGTTTCATTCTGCATCTGCCGCTCCCCCTCTTCCCCCCAAAAAAGGAAGACCATATCACAGCTATAGTACCTCTCAGAAGTCCCACTTCTAGTTGTTAATATTCACCATTTTGAGTTAACAGTCTTTTTTGTTGGTCGAAGGCTAGAGGGTTAAATCCACTCAAGCAAGTGGGTGACTTCATTTCTGATTCACATTTGCAGCCCCAGATTTAATGTGAGGAGAAAAATAACAGTCTACCACCACCATCAGTTAGTTATTTTAAAGTATCAGCTTCCTTCACAGTCCTTTCTAAAAAGGGTCATTAGTCCAAATCAGAATGTGAGGAAAACTTACAGCAGGATATAAAATGCCTTAAAAGCAGTATAAGACCAAGGCAAAGAGAAGGTGCTTATCTTTCAAAATGAAATGTAGCTTGACAAGTGTTCATGCCAAGATGGAAAGCCTGAATCACACTCATTTTGCTGAAGCCATTTAAAACTCAATGAAACATGTTTTGCCAGAAATACTGCTTCACCAAAATACTCCACACCACTGGAAGGAACATAAAGCCATTCAGTGGATCTCTCAGCCACAGGCCATGAATACTGAAAAAAAAGGAAAAATGCCAGCCTCCAAACTGACAAGGACACAAAAGGCAAACAGCAGAGCCTGGTGAGACGTGAGAGGCTGGCTCTGCACTGGTAAACCTGCCCTCCAAGACTCCCACGAACACCTGCCAAATACAGCAGGGAGGGAAGGACCTACCTTTCAACAAATGTGTCATGAACTCTGACTGCCAAGGTCAAAGGAGAGAAACACATAGAGTACAGAAGAAAACAATAGTCTCACTATTAACAATAGAATAAAAGCAACTTCAAATTCATCGAAAAAGGAAAACGCTCCCGGAGACCTTATTTTTAAAATTTCTGCTGCCGCTGTGAGAAAGACAGTGAAATTCCTTCAAAATGCTTAAGAGGTCAACCTGACCATTCTGTTTACATTATGAAACACCAGTCACTCTGGGTTCTTTCTTTAGAAAAACAAGAATTTTATTTCACAGCACTTTCACCCACGAGGCACATCTCATAAAGTCTAAGGATTGAGCCTTAGAAAGAGGAAGATTCGAAGCAACGCAATTACAAAATAAACATTATCTGAAATATCATATGGCTCTAGGACTCATAGATCTGTAAAAACGTTAGTGATAAATCTCATCATTTTTGAAGATGGTTCTTATGTGTGGGCTTGATCTTTAAAGGTTATTTGGTTTTCATTATTTGAAACATTTTTCATCTTATTTTGCCTCTCGTTGTGTTGAGCTGGTAGAGTCTGCCACCTACTGGTGATATGTTCTGATAAGCAATTTTAGGATACAGGATAACTGGCATTTTTGAAGAATGCCAAAGAATAGACAAATGAGAGGGGCAGAAGTCACAAAGATCCGACTTACAGACAGAGCAAGTCTTCATCGTCCACTGAGTAATTAACTCACTGGAGCCTAACAGGTGGAACTGATTTATTTCAGGCATGACAATACCTAAGCAATTTTGCCAGTTTCAGGAGTCCAATATTATAAGGGAACCAACTAACACAAAGTCACAAAGTTGGGGATTTTTCTTTAAGCAAGCTCAAAAAATTCAAAATAACCATAACTCTAATTCTGGAACTTTGGGTTAAGTATATTGAAACTCAAAAGACCATTTTATAGCCATATAAATAATTAGAAAGACCATACAATAACCCAGAATACCATTCTGCATGTGACCAAGTGGAAAGGCAGAACCCAAATATGTGTCCACCATGACTTAAACTGAGTATGAGTGTGCCTGCAAATGGGCAATAAATAAAGGAATATATCAGAATTAAAAGAGCTGTGAAAAGGTGGCAGGACCAGGGATAACTTAATACCTAGCAGAATGCCTAGTGGCAGCAGACAGTAAATGTTTGTTGAATGAATACGAGTAAATGTATGAGCTTTTAAGGTTCTTTCATATTGTTTTGCCATATCCTTCCCAATGAAAACACTGGTGGGTCTGAAGGTTTCAACCCGCCTTTAATTTAAATTAGTGTTTTTTAGGATATAATTCCCCTAAGTATGTTTCCTGAAACAGACTCACGCAGCAGGATGACCCATGTGAAATGGGTACCTCAGCAAATAAGTAGCACCTTATATAACATCTTAGAAATTCACAGTGCATATTAGCATATCAGAGGACCCACAGAGTGCTACAGAGAAGAAACCCATTTATCTTAATATGATGCCATCCCCCAAACTCATCTGACTAAAAAAATCTTTTTTTTCCCCACAGAACACCTATTAATTTTAGCACACAGGGCAGAGCTAAGAGGAGGCAGAGGCAGATATAAACCCTGGCCCCAGTCTATGGGTGGGGTGGGGGTGGGAGGGCACAAGAAACGAAAGCCTGCAAATTCTATTGTAGTGTGGTAGCAGCAGCATGGAGAAAGGGCACCACCATCCAAAGAACATATCTTTGGGAAACACTGCCTTCAGAGATCTAACAAGTAGTATCAATCATATGACTCCTGATACATTTTAAATGCTATTTAACTTTTAATACTATTTAAGGTAAGCAGTAGCCATGCCCTGAAATAACAATGCTAGACAGCCCCAGCCCTCAGTGGTTTTTTTGAGACTCTTACGAGTAACCTGTGTTTTTCCATAACGTACCATCTTTTATCATAGTACAATTTTCCATCTTCTATCCGGGCTTCAAATCTCTGGGCTGGAGACTCTGCAGGTGTGGCAGGCAAGTGTTCGGGAGAGGACGGGGATGCTGGAGGAACCAGAGAGTTCTTTCGATGACTAAGCATGTAACAAACATGGGGGTCCACCAGCTAACAAGCTTCAATTGAAATACTGAAAGGTGGTAATAATCATGATCATCAAGTCCTTACAGTTGTAATAAATGGGGTTCCAATAAAATTCTTGTATATTACATCTAACTTGATCCTCAAAGCAAACCTGTGAGGTAAGCAAGGGGAGATTAACCTCACTGAACGAAGGAGAAACCTGAGGCTCAGGCAGGCTATGGGATTTGCCCAAGGTCACTTAGAGTAGAACTAAAATCCCAGTAACCATCAGAAGCCCAAAAGGTCAAGAATTAGGTAAATCTCTTTAAATTTATAAAAAATGAAATCATTTCTGGAAATATTTATTACTAGATTGAGGAGGCTATTTAGGTATGTACAGAGTCAACCTAATACAGTGCTAATAACTACGGTGGGTTCAAAGGACCTAAATTCACACACTTCCTCAAACTCCCCCTCCCCATCATGCCATGAGAAACTGAGGACCGCTCTGTGGACCACAGTGGCCCTCAGGAGGAGGTTAAGACTCTTGTTCTCATCTCTAAAATTCAGTGCGCAGAGGGATGTGTGAGTAATCACAGTGCTTGAAACAAGACAAAAATGCCTTGCCAATTCAGAACTCAATCTTACAGCCCAGCATTTGAGTGCTGCTGAGTGCTGTTCTGGAAGGAACCGCTGTGAACACAGGGCCGGCCGCTTCTGTAAGCTGGGACTGTCAGCAGCCTGCGAGGCCCTTACCAGGGCCAGGTCATGAGAAGCCTGGCTGCAACAGCAGTGCCGAGTACTGAACTCCACAAGGCGAGTAACACAGAAAAATCCTTCTGGTCTCATTTTCAGAAATGGATGTGAGCTTAAATCTTATGGCTGCCAACACAGAAGGGAACCTTTACCAGCCAAGCAATCAAATGTCTCTTTTACCAAAAATCCTAAGGAAAACACAAGAATAACTTGAACATAGCAGGGTTAAAAAAAAAAAAAAAAAAGGTCAGGCAAAGGTGCACTTCAGGTTCCCTTCAGCTTTCATGATGACTCCTCTCCAGCAAATGATGGACATTATATTTTTGAAAAGAGCAACATTCCACCATCAGGTATTTGCATGCTTCTCCAACGACATGATACAAGATTGCACAAATGCCAATAACGTCATTCACTTACCTGGTCTCTTGGGTGACTTAAGCTGTAAGAAGAAAAAGAACAAAAAATCTTAAATCATTTCAGATGCAAGTTAAGGTGTCAAAGGTATCAAATTGATTTAATAACATGTGAACAAACTACAACAGAAAGTCAGGGCAAGCCTAAGCTTTCAAATAAGCCAAAAAAATCAAACTGTACCTTATTTAATGTTCTCAGATCCTCCATGATCTGTTCATCTGTTAACAAGTAGTTCAGCTGGGGTGTTGAGAGTTAAAGGAATGTATGTGACAAGCACGGCTTCCAAGCAAACAGAGATCAACAGAATGGTACCAGTATTTTAGAATTTACAATGTGTGAGTATGCTACATGAAACTTTTACAATAGTTTGCCTTGTGGAAGTTTTTGATTCTCCTACTAGGTGTCATGTGGTGCCAGGCACACAGGAGAATTCACGCCCCCATCTTACAGGCTTCTATGATGAGAAGGCGGAAGGAGATTCACTAAGAAACTAAAATAGTGAGAGCACAGCACACAATAAAAGAAGAACTTTATCCTGGATTGATGAAGTGCTTTTGTTCCCAAGATCTGAAGACTTCCAGATACACACCATGGAGTTAATCTTCCCTAGCAACTTATGTTCTCAGTTGTGAAGATAAAGGGAGCCGAAGTTATGCTCTTTCTTGGTGGCAGACAAATAACTGAACCATTTTGTGCAAATGGCTATTTATTATCTCCTCAAGAGGATAGAAACAACACTTCCCCATATGTCCTCTTCCCATTACCAGTTTTATGAGTAGAGGGGCTTCTTTATATCTGACTGAAAGCTCATTTGCTTTCATTTAACAACAGTGTGCAATCCAGATTTAGGGACACACGTAACTGAAGTACAAAAGGCAGCTGTTACTGTCCTCGTTTTACAGTGAAAGAATGAAGGCACATGAAACTTTCAGTTGCCCCTGAATCTCCAAGTGAGTATTAAGACCAGGTTGAACTTCCAACACAAAGCACCTTCCCAAATAACCGCTCTCTACAAATCCTCCCACTAGAAGCAGTAGCAACTGAGGACTCCAATAATAAGATGGCTGACCCCTGCATTCCAATCAAATATGACGATTTTCTATAGGACAAAAGCCATTTGTATTATACCAAATGGATAAGCAAAGGATTCAAGTCTTAAGGAAGAAAAAGTGATCAAGGCTTAATGCAAACGGATATCAGGAGCAGGCTTTCTCCTCTTGTCTGGAATGGGGACAGGATCATTTGGCCGCCTCCGCAACTTTCTGGTCATGATGGGCTTCACTTCCATAGAATCTGTGGCGAGAATGGAATGAGTAAATCTATCCAGCCCCCATCAAACTCAGTGAGAACGTCAATAGTGTAAGAATACCTGCCCCACAGCTACCCAATCAGAACCGTTTTACTGGGGACAACTCGTCCACACATGGCCTGAACCAGACCCCAATGTCAGACTTTAGAGAGAGGGTATGTGGTTAGAAGATTCAGACCGGCTGACCTAAGTGCAACCCTCTCAGAAATGCAGCCCAGCCTTGCAGTCTTCCATTCTAACTGTGGCAGGCATCTCTCCAGCGCCCTTAAAACCAAGGATTTTCCTCCTTTTCTCTCAAATTTAAAGAGCCTACAGAGTCATAGGTTCTTGGGATTGGAAGGAACCTTTGGGTTAATTCCTCCTGTTCCCCCGGAGGGCGGTGAACTGGAGCACACTCGCATAAAGGCTATTTTAGAGGCCAGTGGCCTCAGGGCAAACATTTTTATATGAGATCTCCATTTACAAACGCAAACTCTTTATTTTATTTAATAATCTTTTGTAGCTACTTGACTATCAAGAATGATATAAAGAAGGCTCACAATAAAGACCTCTTTCATTCTTCTTGACTTCTCACTGCAAGTCTGACACTGGTTGCTGACTCCTCTCGCCTTATAATCTCTCCTCCCCCAGCCACTGCCACACAAATTTCTCCTTCTTTTCTGATTTGCCTCCTTGGGGTCCTTTTTGCTGGCCTGCCCCTTAAAAGCCGGTGATCTCTGGAGCCCAGTCAGTTTCAGCCTGTGTCCCAACGAATTTCTGATCATCAACTCCAGCTCCGCCCATACACTCTCCAGGATCCAAGAAAACTCATTTCTTCTTGTCTCACTTCCCAAGGCTGCCTCGTCTCCAGCATCTCAGGGTCATCATATCTATCCATCCTCCAGAGCCAGAACAAACTCTGTCATCTGTGACTTGTCTTCCTTCACCCCGATAACAGCAGTTCTGCATTTTAACTACCTCTCAACTCCAATCCCTCATCATTATCTCACCTCCCTCAAAGTGATCTTCCCAAGACACAAATCAGGTCATTCTGCACATCACTCAAGTATTTCAATTGCTCGTCACCCCTTGCAGAATAAAGGCCAAGCTGCATTTCTGGTCTTCCTCACTTCTCCCTCATCCACATGTACCACGTGTGAGCTTTTAGCGATTTTGTTGCCCAAAAGCACTGTACTTTTTATGCCTTCGAGCCTTTGCACACTGTCCTCTCTGCCTAGCCTCCTCCTCTCGGCCCCACAAACTCCTACACGATGTCCCAAGAGAGCCAGCTTAACACTCCCCTTCTGTGAAGGCTTCCAGACAGGGAGCATTTGTATAAACCTCTCCTGCCAAGAGCCACACAGTATGGGACATTTCCCCCAGCAGACACTGGAATTCCACCCCAGCATGGAATCTGCCCCTACCCCAGCACTAGCGATAGTTCTGGCACACAGTAGGGCATCACAGTTTCCAGCAGAACAGCTAGATGAGGTCAAGCCTGATAATGAGATAAAGTTAACCTGTGATTATGCACACTATCAGCACAGCTGACATGACAGCCCTACAAAATTCAAATATAGACCTTCTACTATGGCAGACTGTGAGATATAAGAGCATACGTACTGGGCCGGCTGAGTGGCACAGTTGGCTAAGAGCGCAAACTCTGAGCAACAGAGTCGCCGGTTCGATTCCCACATGGGCCAGTGAGCTGTACACAAGCTGAGCTGCCTTGAGCCGCCAACAGGAGGTAGGATGGCTCAGTGATTAGAGCGTGTGCTCTTAGCAACAAGGTTTCCAGTTCGACTCCTGCATGGGATGGTGGGCTACACAACTAAGACTGAACACGGCACCTTGAGCTGAGTGGCCACAAGCTGCCACTGGGCAGCCAGATGGCGACTGGACTTGGAGCTGAGCTGGCTGCACCCTCCACAACTAAGATTGAAGGACAATAACTTGGCTGTTCCTCTTCCCCAATTCCCCAATAAAATCTTAAAAAAAAAAAAAGCATATGTACAATAAATAAAAATATGTACAAAGTCAAAAGACGTTTTGCACGTGGCTCTTAGGAACAGAAACGGGAAATACTGATTTTTTTCCCCTACAAAGAAATGGTGGTAAAGTGATAAGAACTGCAGACCTAATGAATATTTATAAGTGTACTTCCAAGTGGGGGTAGAAGGAAGGACAAACACACATGCATCTTTGCGGATAAGGTGGGGTGAGGAGAGCCTTCTTCCTAAAAGAAACCTCTCACCCTATGCCGAGATGCCAGCCTTCTCCAGCTACCCAGGCCAGTGGGTCTGAATCCCTGCTGTGGCTGTGTGACCTAAGGCAGGCTACGCAAATACTCTGTGTCTCAGGTTTGCTCATCTATGAAATGGAAATACTAACAATACTTTCCTCACAGGGTGTTGTGAGGATTACATGAGCTGATAAATATAAAGCCCTCA